CCAAGTGATTTCCTTTCTCCAGTGGACGTTGAGACTACAGCTCCATCCCCTGGGTGGGGGGGGCCAGGGGCAATGGATGCCCCTCACTCAGCTGCTTCCTCCCAGCCACCATTAGGAACCCCCAGGGAGCCCAGCTCCAAGAGGAAAGGGGAGAAGGGTCCCCCACCAGCCAAACAGACCTGGGGGGGCGGTGAGAGAGTGAAGGAGAGGATGAAAGAAAACGCCAAAGCTCTGCAGAGGGAGGGGAGAGGGGAGTGCGATCAGTAGTATTTGTTGTGCTTTCAGGGAGGAAGGATCCGTCACATTTTTAATAATAATAAATACATGAAGACAGATTCGCCAGCACCGTTCTGGCTCCTTGGGAAAGGTGGGGGAGGGGAGCCAATGCAGCTGCAGCACAGGCCAGTATCCCCCTCCCCTCCCCCATTAGACAGGCTTGGTGTTGCAGTGGCTACCCCCTCCCCCTCCAACCGCAGTCCTCCCCTTCACAGCCCACCCTTCCCATGGTCCCTTCACATAGCTCTGCTCCTCCCTCCCCTACCTCTCTCTACTCCCCCCAACCCTACTCTTCTCCTTTCAGCACTGGTTCTCATTTAACACAGGCTTATTCTAGCTCCAAGAAGCCCTGCTACTCACATCTTAGATCTGCTCCTGCAAGCCTGAGGCCCTGCTGCTTCTCACCCATGTCCCTCACTAGCTGACGGCACCCCCCCACCCCAAGAAGGAACCCAGCACACTTCAGTATTTCCCGAACTCCACTAAAGGGACTGCTTTTCTCCCCATTTTCCTCTCAATGTGACCTCCTTGCTCAGCACCTTAAATGCAATGGCCATCAGAGGTGCTTGTGTTAGCAGGGTGTCGGGGCCTCAGGACTCAGTGACTACTGCCACCTATTGACCCAAATTTGTTCAAGATAGACCTTTAATACGCTTCTTACACAGCAACGCTCTGTTATTCAAAAGCATCAATAGCTTAAACATGCGAAGGCATGGCTCTTGGGGCTTCTCTGAGACCCTCTGAACAATGAGATCAAAGAAATACAAAGCAAGACTGGGCAGAGAGCCAGAGCAATGATGCCTTTCTCTATGCAGAGGCAGCAAGAGAGGCCCAAGGAATAAAAAAGCAACTTTAAGTCTCCTCAAGAGTCTGTAGGCAAAAAAAGAGTGGAAGCAATGCTTTTCTCAAGTGCTAGTAAAAATCGTATGCACAACAATATAATGTTACCAGTAAAACAGAAAGTAAATTTTACCCAAATGCCTCCCTTCATCAAGTTGGCCAAATCTTTGGTGTGAGTCTGGGATTTATGGATCTAACAGATTCCAGGGAAGGCAGGGGACATTCGGGAGTGTGGCCGATTCTCACCCAATCTGTACCAATCAGAGCTGGAGACTGGGCAGGTGGACGGGGCTCTGGAAAAGGGCGGGCCTACACCACGCAGTTCTGTGTACTGGCTTGGCTACCCACCTTTCACCAACCCAAGGCCAAAGAAATGGGTGTGAACTCTCCATGGTACTGAAACATTCTAGCTCAGTCCTGAGAACAAGTCATCCCGTTCACATAGAAAACACGTTTTCCTAATAAAGGTATCCACGAAGACTCGGGAATTCACGCCATCTTCCCGAGTCTCCATAAAACCCTCACAAAACAAAGCTTCTGAGGTAAAAACAAATTGTCTTCCCCACCTCCAAGGTGAAAACACAAAGGCAGTCAGGATAAACGCCTTGCACAGCACCAGTCAGTGCTTCCTTACCATCGTCACAAGACAGAACTGAGCAGTGCACATGCGCTCTAACAGCAGATCACTTACGGACACCAGAAATGATCCGCTGTCAGCCACTGCTCTGGGGAAGTCTGATAAGCACGTGGTCAAATGATCACAGAACCCAATCTGGGAAAAGTGCATGACAGAACAGACGTAGAGAAACCCTCCAGTTCCAATTCTTAGTCTCCTTGCTTAACAGCCTAACAGTGGTTCTCTATCTGGGTTCTATGGAGTTCTAAAGGTTCCCTGGAGTTCCTCAGGAGTCTTGGGGAAAGAGAGTCATGAGAACATGGAATTCCAAAACTTCTCAACCCACTCCAATCAAAATAACCTGTTTTGCCTGTTTTATAGATTAAGAATCTACATAAAATTCTGTCAAATGTACTGCAAACATTGATGACTCTGGTAAGTATTCTCACAAACAATTCACCTTGTTGCTGGAAATCTTTCAAGTAATGATCAAAGGTCAAGGAAAACAAGATGTCCTGAGATTAAAGACTTAATTGAATACAGGGCCCAGAGAGGCAGGAATTTTTCTGTATACTGCTATACCTCCAAGGGACTTTTTTTTTTTTTTTTTTTTTTTTGACAGGCAGAGTTAGAGAGAGGCAGAGAGAAAGGTCTTCTTCCATTGGTTCACCCCCCAAATGGCCACTACGGCCGGTGCTGTGCGGATCGGAAGCCAGGAGCCAGGTGCTTCCTCCTGGTCTCCCATGCGGGTCCAGGGCCCAAGCACTTGGGCCATTCTCCACTGCCTTCCCAGGCCACAGCAGAGAGCTGGACTGGAAGAAGAGCAACCGAGACACAATGTGGCGCCCCAATCGGGACTAGAACCTGGGGTGCCGGCGCCGCAGGCGGAGGATTAGCCAAGTGAGCTGCTGCGCCAGCCCCAAGGGACTTTAATAGTGTCTGGCACTTGTGGTTTATTTGAAGGCAAAGCCTGGAATAGAATGGGGCAGTAGGGAGGTGGGCGTTAGAGGTTAAAAACTATCTATGGGAGTGGGCGCTGTGGTGTAGTGGGTAAAGCCACTGCCTGAAGCACCAGCATCCCATATGGGCGCTGGTTCAAGTCCTGGCTACTCCACTTCCCATCCAGCTCTCTGCTGTGGCCTGGGAAAGTAGCAGAAGATGGCCCAAGTCCTTGGGCCCCTGCACCTGCGTGGGAGACCCAGAAGAAGCTTCTGGCTTCCTGGCTTTGGCTGTTGCGGCCATCTATGGAGTGAACCAGCAGATGGAAGACCTCTCTCTCTCTCTCTGCCTCTGACTCTCTGTAACTCCTTTTTTCAAATAAGTAAATATTTTTAAAAACAAAAACAAAAAACTACCTATGAATATTTTTAAAAGAAAAAAACCCTGATCTGCAGGATGCTTGAGTTCTCTATCCTGTGTTCCTCAAGCACTGGTTCTCCAATGGACAAGCCATGTGATGTTGGACAAATTGTTTACTCTGAGCAAAGACTTTCTTTGCTAGTAAAATGGAGATGTCATATTTTGTAAGGGCTAAGTGTAAAGGATTTAGTGTGTAACACAAGGTAAGATCTTAAAAAAGAGGAGCACATCCTATAATCCAAAAATCTTAATAAATTAGAAGCAAGTTTGCTGGTCCTAAGTAAAGCATTTTTTGTGCTGAGCTACTTACCCAGTCAGCTCAGCTAGGAAAGGAAAAGAATTTCTAAATTTGTTCTTATGGTTCTTTGTTTGGATTCATTTGAGCAAGAGGAGTCTGAGAGCCCAGGGCCTGTTGGGATCCCTCAGATCTGCCAAGGACTTGAAAGTTAAGAGGCCTTAGAAGCAAGCCCATCTTGGTGTCACCCACAAAAGCTCTAGGTCCTTTTATCTGGACACAATCTCAGAGATTCAGTTTTCATCTGAAGAGAACTAAAGACCAGAGATATTAAGTGATCTGCACAGGATAAGAGTCAGCAAAAGACAGTCACAGTCTAGTCTTGGAACTACTTTCTACCAGGCTGCCCCAGTTAGTCAGACCAGTATAGATCCAAATTCATAGACTCAGAATCAACAAGGTGCTAGTGATATAATGACCCAAATTATATTCCTGCCATGACAATGGCCTGGAAAGCCAGCCACTAAAATCCCATGTCCCTAAGCCCATTCTTATCCCACTGACTCTACCTACCTATTTATCCTTCTGTTCACTTTCTGTATCATCCACGGCCCATGAGATCACTCACCAACAGGTCACATTCCCTGGATAGAACGTAACACAAGGTAACATCTTAAAAAGCTCAGATGTCTAACTCCTATTGGTCTCCCAATTTGAGTTTGGCTGTTATTTCTGTGAGATTTTTCACACTTTTGGCTGCCAAGCTTGGAATATCTGTTTGCTGGTGTTCTTTTGCAAGCCCTTTGAAAAGGGCAGGCCTTTCCCGACTCTGGTAAATCTTAGTTGAAGAGGGTGAAAGGGGCTGAAACACACAAGACTATACAGACTCTACTCTGCTATCCTCTGTAAACTCTCTCAATAACTGACCTTGGTTGAGGCTATAAACCTATGTTGAGGCTATCTTAGAAACAAAAGAAAAAGAGAGAAGTGAGGGTAAGAATAAGCCTTGCTGATGCGGAAAGGTTCTATCTTGCTTCTTAGTAGTAGCAAGCAGCAAAGGTTTCCTGAACCACTAATGCCACCTGGTGGCCAGGCCAGATACATGAATGAAACCTAAAATCCACATATTTCAGGAAGCTGGGACACCGTGAATTAAAAGAGTTGAGTAGGGACCAGAACTGTGGCAGAGCAGATAAAGCAACCGTCTGCTATGCCGAAATCCCATACGGATATTGGTTCATGTCTGGCTATTCCACCTCGGATCCAGCTCTCTGCTAATGGCCTGGGAAAAGCAGCAGAAGATGGCCCAAGTGCTTGGGCCCCTGCTACCCACGTGGGAGACCCAGAAGCTTCTAGCTCCTAGCTTTGAGCTGGTCCAGTCCTGGCCATTGTGGTCATCTGGAGAAATGAACTAGTGGACAGAAGACTCCTCTGTCTCTCCCTCTGTCTATAGCTCTATCAAATAAATAAATCTTAAAAAGATTATACTAAACTATTTTTTTGCAAAATAATCAATTTCTAGCTTCTTAGGAAAGTATATTATAAAAAAATTTTATAAAATCAAACTTCTCTCATTAAAAAAAAAACAAACAACACCTTTCCCTTTTCACCACCAGTCACCAAAAATACCCAACACCCAGTGAATTCAGTCATAAAATACATGTGCAAAAGGGGTTTTTAATTGTAAGAAAAATCAATTTTATTAGGAAAGTTCTTCCCACATGGCCAAAACAATGAATTTCAAGGAAACAAAACCTACATACAGTGAAATTAGAAGTGTTCCAGGGTGACAAAAAATACAGAAATATGTACACCCACAATCACCGCCGCCTCCGAAAACCTGAAAGGAAGGGAAACCAAGAATGAGGCCAAGGTCAGTTGGAAAAGCTGAAGAAACAGGAAAAGGGGAGCATCCAGCAAGAAGGGTGCAACAGGGCAGTCCTCGGCAGTACTTCCTGTGTCTTCCCAGGACAAGACTACAAGTGGGAGTGAAACTCAAATAGGATAACGGTTCCTTCAAGTTACACCTACAGTCCCATTTAAGGAACTCCGAACAGAAGCTGTAGGAACTTTAAGAGATGGAATCCAGGGGGTCCCTTTTGTGAACGATGCGGATTTTCGGGTTGGAAAGAACAAAAGCCCACCTAGAGATGAACATCCAGTATGAAAGACAAACCTCAGGGGTTGGTGACTCAGGACAGCAAGTGCTGACGGCCCACGTCCCAGTTCATACCCCCACCCTGCACCTGATCACCTAAGTCCTACGGTTCACTGACCTTTTTTCTTCCGCCCTTTCTTAGGTATCCTCTTCTGCTTCTTGACAGGATTCTGATCCTGGAGACAGATGGGAAAGAGAAGGAACGGTGGTGCGCTTTCCAGTGCCAGCGTCCCTCCCCAAGTTCCTCATGGCAACGAGTCCCACATCAGGCTGAAAGCGCCAGGCTGCCTGCGACCCGTCAACCCTACCTCATCAAGGTGAGCAGCTCCTCCGGTCAAGGCACTGATGTCACTGAAGTGCGTGAGGGAATGAAGCTGTGAGCTCATGACACTCGCGCGCTTTCGCCGTCCCTTCTCTCGCTTGCTGACGCTTAAGCGCACCATCATGCTCTCCTCATAGTTAATCCTGCCAGAGAAAGACAGTTTGCAGCAGGCTCAGACTACGGCAACAGAAGCTGTGGCCCAGAACCTGGGCCTGGGTACTTACTCGTCTTTGTTCAGTTCTCAAGAGTTCTCATGACAGTTCAACGTAACACTTAGTAAGGACTTAACTGAATGCTTAATACTGCGGTACGTCCCTCAATGCAATGGTCTTTGTGCTAGAACTTTCTTCATCTTTAGAGATCAACCTAGAGCCCATCCTTAGGATAATTTAAAATATTTTACCAGAAAACTCTTACATTTTAGCTCCATAAACAGGATTCTCTGGATAGGACCTTTCACACAAACTTCCAACTGCAGAGACTACATCTAGGCAGAGTCCATGCTTCTGTTTTAAATAAATTCCTTTTCTACTTTTCTTCCCTCACCTCCAATGCCATTATAAAAACCTGCCTATGTGGGGCCAGTGATGTGGTGCAGTGGGTTAGGCCACAGCCTGTGACACTGGCTTTCCATATGAGTGCCAGTTCAAGTCCCAGCTGCTCTACTTCTGATCCAGCTCCCTGCTAATGAGCCTTGGAAGGCAGCCGAGGATGTGCTCCATATGGAACACCCAGATGGAGTTCTGAGCGCTCGGCTTTGGCCTGGCCCAGCTCTGGTCATCATAGCCACTGGACAGTGAACCAGCAAATGGAAGATCCCTCCCTCTCCCCAACCCCGTCTTGTAAATCTGCCTTTCAAATAAATAAAAATCTTTAAAAAAAAAAAAAAGACCTGCCTATATTGTCTTCAGTACAAAAGTGAGAGCTGTCCCGCAGAAATGCAGAATTGTAAAGCCCTAAGACGTGAAACTCCATATACCTCCCATCACACAGCATGGGATTTGGCCTAAACAGACAGAAAAACAATTTTCTCCTAGTTCTTATTCTGTACTCTTCACACCTGGACAGCTCTCATCCTAAGCTTTTCACTCCACTTTCTGTATCCCCTGGCTCCTCATCCTGAGCCCCAGGTCTCCAGTGCACACGGGAGACAGGTCGTTTCTAAAGGCCAGGGCTGACCTGTGCTGGTCCTCCTGACTCTGGCGCGTAACATGAGGATGGCGAGCATCGCGGATTTCCTCAGGCGCGTCTGAGTACTGCTCCTTCAGTTCGCGGATGACGGAGCTGCTCAATGCCCGCCTCTTGGCTCGTTCCAGCCGCTTTCTCTCCCGCTCGGCCTCTGTTTCATCTGCGTGACAGAAAGCAGCCAGGGTTACTGCAGAACAGAGAAAAGGACAGAACACGGTGTGTGGCGCGGAGGCAGCAGCAATCCATACCGTAGTGCACTGGAACCAGGCGCGGTGGGACGTATTTCTTAGACGCTCCTTTTGCAGATTTCTTCCCTGACGACTGCCCATCCTCCACTTCATCTTCCTCTTCATCCTCAGAGCTCAACTGCAAGAGGAACATGACTGCAAACCTCGGAAGCATTAGGCAGACACGTGAGAAGAAAACCCGCAGCTGGAGTATCCAGGGAGGGGAGCATCTGAACAAAACAGAGAAGAGGGCAGTGCACACCCAACACTCAAAGGCGCGAGCTGGAAATGCAATCGCAGAGAACCCCAGCAGACCCCAGAGCACCAGAGGCTCACGCAGGAACAGATCCCTCACGAACGCCAGGAGGATGCAGCCCCTTACCTTGCTCATCATACTGCTGGGATGAGGCTTAAAACGAAGTGGGTCATTCTCACCTAAAGTAAAAAATGCAAGAGATGTCATGTGGTTTGGAATTTTATGCTGGCCCCCACAAATTGATGGTGGTCCCCCACTTACTGAGGCTGCCTGTCACTGCGGTCCTCACCAGTTTGTCGATTTGATACTTCAGTTTTTGGTCCAAAGGACGAAGTTTTTCCAAAACCTACAACATGGCAGTTAAACAGGATTACATGCCCTTCCCAAATCAAGTACGTACCAGCATTCATATAATCTGCCAAATAAGGCACCTAAATATGTACAAAGTCGGCAAAATGGAGAGAAAAACTATTTTTTTTCTATTTGAGCTCTTTACTTAGATATTACAACGCCTGCTTAAACACGAGCTACTACGTCGTGGCCTCAGGGTTCAGGATTTAGGAACCTAGAACTGCTCAAAGCCAAACACTCCATACCGTGCGAATCTCCACCAGTCTCAGAACTGCAGCGTGCCCCTGCAGAGACCCTCCCGATGCCTTGTCCAGGAGGAGGTGGCTCAGATCCATGAGGTACATGAGCAGCAGCTGGTCTTTCACTTCTAGGAAGCTGAGTCCCTAAGTTGAATAAAATGGTAAGAGACACAGATTCAGTTTACCTAAAGAATCAGGACAGACAGGGGCAAACAGGGGAGTGTTTTTGCAAGCTCAGCTTCTTCCTAACCAGTTTCTATAGGGTATCTAGAATTCAGAAATACCTCCCCCCTCCCTTATTTACAGTCTTGCGTTCCCAAGGTTTTGGTCGCCCAAAGTCAGCTGCAATCCAAAAAGATTAAATGGGAAATTCATTTAATTAGTAAACACTGCAAGTTTTAAACGGCACGCGGTTCTGAGCAGCACGACACCTTGCGCTGTCCTACTCCATCCCCTCTGCAAGTGAACTGTGACCCGCGCTGTGCACACGACCCGGTATCAGACTTTCTGTCACGGTCTTGTGAAAGGACCCTGTGATGACGCAGCAGGGAAGATATGAAAGAAACGCAGGGTTGATAAGGGTCAGTTCTGCAGGGTTTCACACGCCCACTGAGAGTCCGCCCCAGATATGAGGGGACTACAGTAGTCCCAAGAAGCAGCTAGACCTAAGATGAGCAACAGAGAAAACTCAGTCTAACACTAGGGAAGCAAAGCTCGGAATTGCTGAGACACTAAACGCAGGAAAATCAGCACAGTCTTCCACCAAAAAGACGACCGCAGGGTTGCTCAATCTCAGGGCTGCAGACATGTGGGGCTAGAGAATTCTTCTGGCGGGGGGCTATCGTGGGGATTAAGAGGTTTTCTACAGCAAACCTGGCGTCAACCCACTAAGTCCCCTCCCAAGCTGAACAAGAAGTCTCCACACACTCCCAAACCTTAATTTAATTTGATCAAAGTAACACTGGTTTTATTTCTATATGATGGAATTACATGCTACAGATTAAAAAAGCATTGATTTACCTAAGCTGACACAGAATTAAAACCATGTCAGCACAAGTCATTGCAAGGGTATAGAACATAGTTCCAACTGTATAGTATAACACAAGTTTTATATGCACAGAAAAATATCTGCTATACAATTATTATTATTATTATTATTTTTGACAGGCAGAGTGGACAGTGAGAGAGAGACAGAGAGAAAGCTCTTCCTTTGCAGTTGGTTCACCCTCCAATGGCCGGCGCGCCACGCCAATCCGATGGCAGGAGCCAGATGCTTCTCCTGGTCTCCCATGGGGTGCAGGGCCCAAGCACTTGGGCCATCCTCCACTGCACTCCCTGGCCACAGCAGAGAGCTGGCCTGGAAGAGGGGCAACCAGGACAGAATCTGGTGCCCCGACCGGGACTAGAACCCGGTGTGCCGGTGCTGCAAGGCAGAGGATTAGCCTACTGAGCCGCGGCGCCGGCCCTGCTATACAATTAACTGCTATCTTTGAGGAGTAAGATGAGGAAATGGAAGAAATTGAGTGCTTTTATTGAGAAATGTTCTTCCAACAAGTACATATTATTCTTATAATGAAACAAAAACCTCAAAAAACTGCCAGCAGTCATCTTACAGTGGTGATTATCATGATTTTTCATTTTCTTCCTCGTGCTTTTACTTACCTTCTAAACTTTCGAAAACTAAAAATGCAATGTATTTATAGGTAGAAAAATCAACCAAATGCTACTTTGTAATCTGAAAAGCACCCAGTAAAAAAGGCTTTGGTAATAAAAATAAGTAGCTGTCCAACAGATAAACAAATAGATAGTGACCTAAGAAGCATGCCGGCAGCCCATCTATCTCAAAAAAGCAATGAAATGGAGCAAAACATGATCCCCGGGACAGAGCTACATCAGAGTCTGAGAAGTATGCTCTTCTGACATGCTAGGGCACTGCCAACTTCAAACTGGGTTACAGGTATGAGAGAAAAAGATTTAAAAATCAGAAGAGATGAAAGCAGATCATAAGAACAAAAGTACATGATGACAGGGGCCAGTGCTGTGGGGCAGTGGGTTAAGCTACCACCCTCAATGCCAGCAACCTTTATGAGTGCCAGTTCAAGTCCCAGCTGCTCCACCTCCAATCCAGCTCTCTGCTAGTGCACCTGGGAAAGCGGAGGATAATTGCCCAAGTACCTGGGCTCCTGCCACCCATATGGGAGACCAGGTTGGCATTCCAGGCTCCTGGTTTCGACCTGGTCCAGCCCTGATCATTGGAGCCATTTGGGGAATGAACCAGTGGATGGAAGATCAATCTCCTTCTCACTCTTCCTCCCTCCCTTTCCCCTGCATCTTTCAATCAATGGCTTCTAAGCATTATGTCATAATAGGAAGCATTTTTTCTTTTTTTAATATTTATTTATTTGAAAGGCAGAGTTACAGAGAGGCAAAGGCAGAAAGAGAGGTCTTCCTTTTCCGTTGGTTCACCCCTCAATGGCCGCTGTGGCCAGCGCACCGCGCTGATCCGAAGCCAGGAGCCAGGTGCCTCTCTCTGGTCTCCCATGGGGTGCAGGGCCCAAGCACTTGGGCCATCCTCCACTGCACTCCCGGGCCACAGCAGAGAGCTGGCCTGGAAGAGGAGCAACCGGGACAGAATCCGGCGCCCCAACCGGGACTAGAACCCGGTGCCGGTGCCGCTAGGCAGAGGATTAGCCTATTAAGCCGCGGCGCCAGTCAGCATTTTTTCTTAACATATAAAATAAGTATTTAGATAAAGCACAACACCTCCTCCATCGGCCTACCAGGCTCTTGGCAGACGACTGTTCCAGCGTTACTTCCCACTCCTCCCACAGTTCTCTCCTCCTGCCTCTCGTACTGCTGCACTTGTTCCTGCTGCTTTGCTCTGTCCTCACTAGACCCCAGCACAGCCACTGGATCTTAATTCCTCTCTGAAGCTCTGGCACTTAGGTCACACAACACAGTGTGTCTACGCTGGAAGAACTACTGAGGACATCACGTCAGGGCTGCCCCTTGGCTACGCCTTACCTTCTCTGTAGGGTAGGCTCCAGCTTTAACTTTTTTGGTCAGTGCTTGCACCTGTGCAGTTACAGCCATCACCTGAAATCAGCCCAAAGAAAACAGCTGGTCTACATCAACTCACGTCTGGGAAGGGCGAAGGGCAAACACCAAACAATGCCACCGAAAAATGACCTCACACACTGTCTACAGTAAGGGACTAGCATCTTCTCAGTTCTGGGCAGGTGGGGAGAGACGTTTCCAACAGCTATTCAAAAGGCAGGGGGCTGGCGCTGCGGTGTAGCAGGCTAAGCCTTTGCTTGTGGCACTGGCATCCCATACGGGCACCAGTTTGAGTCCTGGCTGCTCCACTTCCAATCCAATGCCCTACTAACGGCCTGGGAAAGCAGTGGAAGATGGCCCAAGTGTTTGGGCCCCTGCATCCTTATGGGAGACCCATAGGAAGCTTCTGGATTCGAATCGGCCCAGCTGTTATGGACATATGGGAAGTGAACCAGCGGATGGAAAACGTGTCTTCCCCTCTCTAATAAATAAACAACTCTTTAAAAATAAATAAATTTAGGGGGAAAATCACCATTTCTTCTTAAAGCTACATAAACTACCTTTACCAAACCAAGGGGAGGGGATAGGCACTGGAGCAGTGGTGGAAGGGCACCGTCACTTTATCTGGACTGACAACTTACAATGCAGAGACCATATAAATGTGTGTTAGTTGGGCACCCAAAAGGCAAATCATGCCTTTCCCAGCATCGGCTCCCTGTGCTGTAGGAATAAAGGAAACCGACTCAGGTGACCTCTTTTTGGAGTTCTCAGTATTCCTTCGGGTACAGAAAACAATCACTTTGAATTTTGGCCAGAGAGAGTTTTCATCAAATCATTTAACTCTACTGGCATTCGGGAGCATTCAAAACCTGCCCTCAAATCACCGGCAAAGACTGAGGGTGAGGCACGGCCAGCCACAGCCAGTGCGTGAGTACCCCATTCCGAAGGGGCGACGCCACTCACCTGCTCCTGCAGGTTCTTCAGGAGGGTCACGGCGGCCGGCAGGTCCGCCTCCAACACCCCCTACGCAAGGCAGAGAGTACACAGGGTTAGAGGGCAGCACGTCTCGGAGAGAACCGCCTTCCCCTTCGGACACCCAGACTCGGCCTTCTCACTCTGGTAAACCAGCCAACACTCGGGTTACCCGACAGGAGCCGAAGGCACCCCAGGCCCCGGGGCAGCGGGGCTCCTTTTGACCTACTGTGCCAAGGAGGCCACCCCCTTCCCTGGTGCCAGTAAACTGCCTCGATCCCGGGAGGTGAAAGGAAACGTCCACAAACGCTCCACGAAGAGAAACCCGCACTGCACTCACCGGCGCCGCCATCTTCGCAAAGCCCGCCCCTTCCGGAAACACACTTCCTAAGCGCCAATGTCGTCACGCTGGACTTGAGAGAGACTACCGCGGCCAATCGGAATACGGGCTGCCCCACTTCCGCCCCGAACAGAATGAACAAGAGGCGGAGCCTGTTCTGGCCAATGGAAAAGAGGAACTGGCCAATTCCGTCAGATTCACTGAAGATAGAATGACGTGAGACGTTCTTGGAGAGAAGCATGTGATTGGTAGGTTGGAGAGAATGATTAGCGCTAAACCAATAAAAGCTGAGGAAATGATTGATTGAAAGGTAGAAGAGCCCAATGGACAAAAGGAGTTAGCCGAGAGAATTGAGAGCTTATTGGCTACGGGATGCCGCAGTCTTTCTCACGGCGCTTTCCGCGTAGTGCCGGAACCGGCCGCTAGGTGGCGTCCTCGGCCTCGCTCCGGGATGGCCACGTTGCGAGGCAGTCATGGCCGCCTGCTTCTCGACAATGTGGCCCCCGTGCGGTAACTCACGGACCTCTTGGCTCGATCTGTGACAGTACTGCTGGTGCGAACAAGTCACTCGGCCTCTGAGTCTTTTTCCATCCGTAGATGAGAGAGTTGGGCCAAAGCAGCTCAGGGCCGGGGTTTGGGAGCCGACTGACCTCGTGGTGCGCGCCCAGGGCGCTGCGGGAAGGCTGCAGACATGGCCCGGACGCTGCCCCCTCCTCGCAGTTTGGGAACAGGAGCGGGCATGGGAGGACTTGCCCCTGGTCACACAGGTGCAGAGGCAGGCGGAGCGCAGCCCATCTTTCCTCAGTACCCAGCTCCGTCAGCTCGCGCTGGCTTCTCGAAGGCTGGTGCGGTGTAGTCGATGGGTGTTAACTGTTCGGATCGTTTGCATTAGAAAATAAAGCTCGTTAGGAGCCAGCGATGGGCTTGAATTTTTCCTGCAGCCGCGGAGCTGCCCTAGGGACTCGACTGGGAGCTGCCTTCTGGGATCCGGGAAAGAAAAACCCCGTGGCTGGGCAGCCAGGGCGGGAAATGCTGGTTTCTAAGACTTGGGGTCCCGGCCTCTGCCCCCAGGATGCCTCACTTAGCCAAAGCCTCTGCTCTGTTCATGAGCAGGTTTCTCTGCATTCTCGGCCCTGGCCAGTTAGACACAAACTTCTTTCCTTGGAACTTGAAATTTAGTTTGTTCCTGTGCGTTAGGATGTCAATGAGGAAACAAATTACACTGCCTTGTTTTTGTTTCTGATTATTAAAGTACTTGTCAGCCATTCCTTTTGTTAACAAGAAAATCTTGGCGTCAACTGCACAATAAATCTTTGCAAATGTCTTCTGGATTCAACCAACCAGCGCTGGCCAAGAACAAAGGAGCATTATATTTATTGTCTTCTCTTTCTTTCAACAATTCCATAAACTGGCCATCATTCGTAACATCTGCAAGTAGATGTTGAGCTCATTTTTTACAGTTTTATTGAGATTTAATTCACATACTAAACAATTCATCATTTAAAGGATACAGTTCAGTGGTTCCTGGTGTCTTCACAGAGCTGTTCAGATATCACCATAATCTTTTTTTTTGGGGGGGAGGGAGGGATTATTTATTTGAAAGGCAGAGTTACACAGCGAGAAGGCAAGACAGAGGAAAACTAGAGCTAGAGCGAGAAGGAGAGGGAGAGAAAGAGCTATTCCATCTGCTGGTTCCCTCGTAATCAATCTTAGAACATTCTTACCACTCCAAGGGAATACAGTACCTGTTTGTAGTCACCCCTCTCCTCTTTTCGCAACACACCTCCAATCCTACTGTATGTGCTTGTAGAGTTGTCTATTCTGATGTTTCGTTAATATGGAATCAGGCTATATATCGCCGGATGCGACTGGTTGCTTTCACTTAGCACAATGCGTTCAGGGGTCACCCATAGTGTAGCCTGTATCAGCATTTCTTTTTGTTGCCGACTACTATTTCATTTTGTGACTGTACCACCTTTGGCTTATTCCTTCATCAGTTGGTGGACATTTGAGTAGTTGCCAGTGCTTCACTTTTATGAGCAGTGCTGCTCTGAACGTGTGCATACACGTTTTTCTGGGGTATAGATTTTCATTTTCTTTGGGTGTCTCCCTGGGTGTGGAGTTGCTGGGTCACACACACGGTAATGTTGTTTATGAGGACTGCCAGACAGGCGCCCAAAGTATTGCAGCCTTTTACGTGCCCACCACTAATAAAACGGTTCCAGTGATTCCATATCCTTGCCAACACTTGCTAGAATCTGTCTTTTAATTATAGTCACCATGCTAAGTATGAGTAGTCTCTTATTGTGGTTTTAATTTGCATCTCCCTAATGGCTAATGATGTTGAACAACTTTCTTATGCTTGTGAACCCTTTGTATAGATTTTTTTTTTTTAAAGATTCTTTTATTTGAAAAGCAGAGTTACAGAGAGGCAGAGGCAGAGAGAGAGTTCTTCTATCCACTGGTTCACTCCCCAGGTGGCTGCAACAGCTGGAGCTGCACCAATCCAAAGCCAGGAACCAAGAGCTTCCTCTGGGTCTCCCACACAGGTGCAGGGACCCAAGGTCTTGGGCCATCTTCCACTGCTTCTCCAGGCCATAGCAGAGAGTTAGATGGGAAGTGGAGCAGCCAGGACTCAAACTGGCACCCAAATGAGATGTGGGCACTGCAGGCAACGGCTTTGCCCGCTATGCCACAGTGAGGCCTGTATAGATCTTTGAAGAAATATCTAGTCAGATTTTTCCCCCTTTTTAATTGAGTTTTATTTTTATTATTGGTTTAAGAGGGTTTTTTTTTTACATATTCTGAATATGAGTCCTTTGTTATAAATATGATTTGCAACATTTTCTCCTGAGTTGTTTTTTCATTTTCTTGACAGTATTATTTGAAGCACAAAAGTTTTTAAGGGGCTGGTGCCGTGGCATAGCAAGTAAAGCCACTGCCTGCAGTGCCAGCAGCCCATAGGGCGCCAGTTCGAGTCCCAGCTGCTCTACTTCCAATCCAGCTCTCTGCTATGGCCTGGGAAAGCAGTAGAAGATGGCCCAAGTCCTTGGGCCCCTGCACCTGTGTGGGAGACCCAGAGGAAGCTCCTGGTTCCTGGCTTTGGATCGGCGCAGCTCCAGCTGTTGCGGCCATCTGGGGAGTGAACCAGCAGATGCAAGACCTCTCTCTCTGCCCCTCGTTCTCTCTCTGTATAACACTGACTTTCAAATAAATAAATAAATCTTTAAAATAACAACAACAAAGAAGTATCTTCTTTTTTCTAGCCTTGCCTCACAATTTTCTGACAAAATTTCTGTAACTGAAATAATTTTTTGTTTGTTTATTTGTTTTCCTATATATTCATTTAAAAAAATTTTTTTTGTGTAAGAATCTAAGCCATTTTATAGCTGGAAAAAGTTACAATCTCAAATTCTGTTTAATTTTTTCAAATTCTAATTTATTTATTCTTTTAAGAGTCACGTGGGCCAGTGTTATGGCACAGGAAGTTAAGCTGCCACCTGGGACGCCCGCATACTGCGTGGGCACTGGTTTGGGTCCTGGCTGCCCCACTTCCCTCCTAATGCACCTGGGAGAGCAGCGGAGGATGGCCCCCGCCGCCCAAGTGGGAGACCTGGATGGAGTTTCAGGCTCCTGGCCTCGGGCTGCCCAGCCCTGACCATTGTGGCCATTTTGGGGTGTGAACCAGAAGATGAAGGATCCCTGTCTCCGTAACTTTGCCTTTCAAATAAATCAATAAGTAAGTGAGAGTCACAGAGACAGAGAGCTCCATCTACTCGTTCATTCCCTAAATGCTCGTCATCCAGGACTGGGCCAAACCAAAACAGGGAGCTGGGGACTCAGCCCAGGTCTCCCATGTGGGTGGCAGGAACCCAACTGCTTGAGCCACCACTGCTGCCTTCCAGGGTGCACATTAGCAGGTGGCTGGGATCGGACGCAGAGGTGGGAACTGAACCCAAGCATTTCATGTGGGATACAGGTGTCCTGGCCTGTATCTTAATCACCAGGCCACATGCCTGTCCCTGAATTAGTTTTTAACTTTCCATTTTGATTTTTAGAAGACTAACTGCATCAAATTTTTTAAAGATTTATTTTATTTATTTGAAATACAAGGTTACAGAGAGAGGGAGAGACAGAGAAAGAAATCTTCTATCCACTGGTTCACTCCCTAAATGGCCGCAGTGACCAGGGCTAGGTTGGACAGAAGCCAGGAGCCAGGAGTTTCTCCTGGGTCTCCCATGTGGGTGCAGGGGCCCAAACATTTGAGCCATCCTCCGCTGCTTTCCCAGGCACATTAACAGGAAGCTGGACCAGAAGTAGAGCAGCCAGGACTCGAACCGGCGCCCATGTGGGATTCCTGTGATGCAGGTGGAGGCTTTACCCACTACACCACACCGCCAACTCCCATCAATTCTTTTTGACTATTTTAAGTGGAAGCTTCTTATCAAGTTCACTATGTATTTGTTTAAAATATCTTTTAATACTGTACAACTTTAAATTTTTCTTTCACAGCAAACAACTTTTTTCCTTATTTTGGTTTGTTTTTGCTGTTGTCATTCATGGTGAAATTTACAACATACTTTTTCCTTTACTTCTGAAAAAAATTTTACTAACTTCTGAATCTCCCCTGTATTCTACATTCCATAGATTTTGATAAGTTGTATTTTCGTGTGTGTGTGTGTGGAGAGAGAGAGAGAGAGAGAGAGAGAGAGAGAGAGAGTTGGAGAGAAAGAGAGCTTTCGTCTGCTGGTTCACACCCCCAAACACCTCCAACAGCCTGGGCTGCCAGTAGCGGCACTAAACCAAAAGCCATGACCCTGGATCTCAACCTGGGTCTCTCACATGGGTGTCAGAAATCCAAGTACTGGAGTCATCAGCCGCTGCCCCCCTGGAGACGCATTAGCAGGAAGCTGAACCTTGAAGCAGGCAAGGGCTCTAACCAAGATACTCTACCGTGGGCTACGGGACGTCCCGAGTGGTGGCTTAACTGCTATGACTTCTAGGTTTCCTTTTGTATCAAAGGATTTCTAAATTTACAAAGCAATGTTGTCAGCTTGTGGCTCCTCCTCCCCTAAAATCAATACACTTTTACAAGCAATTTAAGTTCTTTTGCAGTAGCACTCTCCTGCTTAGTGGTGGGTGTGGGTGCCTTGTGACAGAATATCATCAGTTCTTCCCTCCCACCCCACACAGCCTCACTGCTATCCACGTCACCACTTACCCATCTTCTGTAACTACCCAATATATTGCTGCTATTACTAATCTGCACAGTTTTCCACTAGATCGGATAGGAATGAGAAAACACAATATGTTTTATCTTCATTTTACCTTCTCTGATACACTTCTTTATATAGATTCAAGTTTTGGATCTACATCATTTTGCTT